TATTGTTAGTCGGGCAATTCGAATACCAGAGAGGCATAATAGGGGTCTCGGGATGAAACAGAGGATATCATGAAGATAGCTCCGGCTTATTATGTCATTGCTGACAGAAGAGAGTGACTAATGGTTGCTTGGAAACGTACCGAGAGCCATAGCCGTAGTCACTAATAATAGTCAAGTAAGTCTTTGCTGTGTTGATACGAATTCTTCACAAGAGCTCATACCTGGTAATATCTAGGGTGGCCTTCTCGCCAACCTTCATCTGGCATACACCATCATCCCAGCCTGATCATTGAAGCATTAGTTAGGGTATAGGCCTTGTCGAAGATTCTACTATTGAATCCTACCTTTGATGACCTGGCCGACACCAATTTGTGTGACGAAGTCCCCACGACCGACCGACGAGTCGAACCTATCGTTGTAGGTGGGAGGTCAGTTAAGCATCTTAGAAATCAAAGGGATGATTAAGGATGGAAGTCAGCTGACGTCACATCACGGTATATGGAGGGGCTGTTTTGGGAATGGATGGAATGGATGGATGGATAGTGGGATGGCGGGGTAGCTCCAAGGTCGGGATCTTCTTCTCTTTCCCCCTTTTCGCTTTCGTTGTCACGGATAAATTTCTCATTGATTCTGCTGTACTATTCGGCAATACTTACTTCTTTCCCTTGTTGTCGGGTTTGGTGGTGTCCTTCAGCCAGCCAGTGTATTCAATGGTGACGGTCTGGCCGGGGGTGGGCTGGGCACCGGTGCCCTCCTGGTGAACAGTCTTGGTAACACCCATTGTGAAGAAAAGAGAGGTAGTCGATCTGGTTGGTTACTGTTGAATTGGATTGCGAATGAGGATGGAAGAATGGATGATGTTGAAGTTTCTGGAAGAACCGGGGAATGCGAGGCCAATACTTATATATGCAAGTAAATACGCATAGGAAAGGAAGTAAGTACGCAGGTGGGATGTTTAGCGTCTTGATTATCCACCGTCTACCCTAGGTAGGTAGAGGTAGATACTACCTAAGATACTGGGCTTTGTTTTGAAGCTACAAATCAGGTACACTACGGCCAAAGTGAGGGGCAAGCAGCTCAGAGGTAATAGCTACGGGTCTACGTGCCTAAGCCAGGTACCTTCCATGCCATGCAATGGTACCTCCTACTTCGTATCCTTAGGTATGTACGTACATATAGGTAGGCAGGCATGTAGAGTGTGCTGCATTAGGTAGGTACGTGCAGAAGATGATTCTACTCACAAACTCGCTAGGAATCTGAGCGTGGGATGGCCTATGAAGAGTATACAAGTGGTGTCGTACAGGTGGGAACGTCGAGGCTGGAAGTGGTGGAGTGGTGGAGCCGTGGGTGGTGGCTCTTACCGTACCCTACTAAGGCACCAACCTTGTACGGCTAGCTCTCGCCGAGAGGAACCTAGGTATTAGCTCCCCCCAACCAGTACCCTGAAATTCCAACTCCGTGGTTGTTCTCAAGTACAGGCCAAGGTACATACCCTATCTAAGGTACCCATATAGGTATCTACCGCTTGCCTGCGCTTGCCTGTAAGTATCGAGGGTATTTACCCCTCTACAGAAGAGGTAGGCAAGGGGTGGGGGCATGCTTTGATAAATTCTGGCCGAGAGGTACCTGGATAGATGACCGAGTTAAGTTCTGCCTACATGTACGCAAGACAGCTGGTACATATTCATGCTTACGACCCGATCGACCTCTTTACCCCTCCCTGTAGACACTGGTAGAAGGGTCAATTGGATGTACATATGTAGGCATATACACATACGGTATGGGGGGGACACGTATATATTAGCAATATTGTTCCTAAATATAATACTGAAATGCTGCGTTGGAATGTACTGTGGTATAATTAGCATCGCGTACCGAAAGTGCAGGGCATTTGATGTTTGCAAAAATGACGACATACATGGTTATACATGGTTAGGGTGCCGATCCCCCGCTTTGTTGGGGATTACGCGCAGTACCGCCCGCATCAGACTCAGATTTGTGCAATCATGAATGGCGCATCGTCCTCTCACCGCAAAACGTCTCGCTCGCCTCATCCATTTCCCCGCTGCTGCAATCCTCGACGGAGAGCTCTCTAATAGGCTATCGTCGAGCACACAACATTACTGCCTGTCCGCTGCGATGGTTAAGCAAGATTAAATCAACCATTCACAAGCCAACCTTATCGGGAACACCGAAGACGGCTGATGACTGGTGACTGATGGCTAGAAAGAATATCGATCGCATATGTAGCCTGCGTTGCCTAATGGCATCCATCTACTGCTGTACGCCTTAGGCTCTAGGTTCAAGGATTCGCCGGCCTGTTCCGTTTGTGATAAATCTCGTTTGTTGTATCCTGTCTCTTCGAGAACCGATAGACGATGTTGGCCCGTAAGCTAGGTGTTTGAAACAGTACTGCTATCTACCGATACTAACTACTTATATTGGAGCTTCATTCCAAAAGGCTCACCTAAAATCATCTTCTCATGATGACTAGTATCAAGGACATATTCGTTAACTAGCTGGTTATTGTCCCAATGCTGAACTATGCTCCAATCTAACTGTCCTTAGCAGCATTGATCTAAACGGGATAAGTGTGCCGGTGTAGCGGTTATAGCTCAAGCGCTGCACCATCGGTGTGGTTCGTTGCACTAGGACCCGCCGCCCGTCCTTGAGAGGAAAAATCTGTTTCATCTCCATCTTCATTGGGGCGATCGAGCGTTTGATCTGTTCAAAGATACCCACGTGTTGAGAGAGATTTCGGATATTGTGTGGGCAGCCAATTGGCCTACGTACACGGTTCCATCCTTATGGTGATGGATCTGGTCCCAATCTTTGCGTATCTCCGTCAACTACTGCTCCGCATAGCGATACACTGTTCTGGAAGGATCTAGTTCACTGCTGCAGATACCCTCGGAAGATTCTGCAGCTAGGCGACCCGTATCGCGTACGCAAACATCTGGCAGGGACCCGAGAGGCAAGAATGGTCGGGCACCGTTGCAGTCCTATGGCTCGCCAAAGCGGGCGCCAAGAGGAAATGCAAGAACATACAGCTTATCCTCTCTGTATTAAGGCAGATCGGGAAGAGGTGGATCTAACCCCAAACAAAACATCTGTCTGACTACATCATACATTGTACCGCAACAATGACCGATAGAAGACACCACAACAGTCCGATATTCCACCTAGACAAGCAACTAGGGCCGGGAGACAGCCGAGACACTGCTCTACCAATTATCACTCACTAGCTCCTGCTAGTATGTAACTGTTGTCGACATGGGTAGGCCTTACTTAGGAGCCTCCCTAGACACCGCATGAGACAAATGCCTACCCGAAGCCGTAAATAAACGGGCATATGCACTATACAATGGTTCCATACACGATCTAGAATCTCTGGCGGCAATCTAGACGCGGTTCCTTGAGTTCCACCGGTTTGAAATAAACAAGTAATTAAACCGCAACCCCCCTTCCCCAGAAATGGCTAGAATAGAGAAACTCGAAAAGAAAAAGAAATCCGGGGAAAGACACCTAAATCACCGACGGACTGGAAAGCAACTAACAAGCATATGTATAGCTGCCCATGAGCTTCCATGCAGGCCACCGGTGGTACCCATTCTAGTCGTTGCACGGCTAGGCATAAATAACCCTTCATGAGTACATTCGGCGTATTTTATTTCTACCCAACGTGGCGCGTGATCAACGAAGAGCCTGACGCTCTTTTGCTTTTGCTCATTTCAAATGCGTCCCGGCTGTCAAGTGCTGCCTACCAAATGGCAGGGTTGAATTCCCTAGGGGGAATCTAGTCAACACGTACAGGGAGGCTGGCAATCGGTCCTGACGCGCGTATTCACAGTTCCATTGATCATACAGGGCCGTACGACAACCACGGCTACTGGCATCATCTCCCTTTAACTTTTAACTGCCCAACGTTACGGAGAGGAGATCGGGTTACACGAAAGACTCATGGAGGTCTAGGCAGAGTAACAAATGGTTCGAAGTGCAATTTACCCGAGGGACCAGGTCCGTCGTGGCTCCATAGAGCAGCATCGTCAGGTTCCCATACAGGTAGGACATCACTCAACAACTGAAGGGGATCCGTTGACAGACCGTTATCCGTCTGTAGTACTCGAAGTTCCTGGATCTTCTGTTTCTCGTACAACTTGCCCTCGGTACTTTTCTTCCTCGCCCGACCCTGGTGTTGCCGGCACCTCGCATAGCTCCTGAACACTCCGAGTGCTCATGGCGTATGATACGACCCCGCCTATATATGAGCTAGCGTATGCCGATGGGCTAAATCGGTTTGTTTCGGCAGCATGTATAGGTGAGATGTATCCTGTGATCGTCCGTAGCTCGTGTTTCCTTGCATACACGTATCGGAGATATGTGGCTGGCTGTAGAGGCGTGCGTTAGATCTTCTTGCTGATTTCCTTTACATGTCTATTGTGCATTATGTTACCCTAGCCTCCACTCCTCTACCCCATTTTGAAAGTCTATAGAGAAGATCCAGGCAAACAAGTAGTATGGACTATTCTAGTGATAATATATTCCTCCTATTCATGATAGGTGTGTTCTCTAGTCAGGTTTCTCTTTCCGCTTGTAGTTAATCAAACTAAACCACACGAATCCTTAGAGAACCGCGAAGGGTTCTTGATTTATGGGGGAGGGGGAATGAAGTGTCGTTTGTTTTTCGATTTGTACGGATTAACCGTAAGCCGGGGGTAGAGACGCATCTATTTGGGTTGGATGGATGGATAGATAGACTTATTCCAGTACCCACTAGGTATACAGCTGAATTTTTATAACGCTTTGAATATTAGCGACGGAGTACCTATCCTTCTCCAGAACTGGTTGATACAACTATTATTTTGTAACTCCCGAAAAAAGAGTCAAAATTACTTAGCTGTAAAGTCACAAGAAGACAAACTCCTCCAGCACAATATTCTGTAATAAACATGACGACATACGTCAATCAGCATCTGAATATCAAAATCTGATTGGTGTTCGGCTCAGTGGTCTAGTGGTATGATTCCTGCTTCGGGTCGCTCCCTTCCATTAATTGTACATGGGAATGCAGGAGGCCCCGGGTTCGAATCCCGGCTGAGCCCCATCTTTTGCCGATCGTAGTGGGTGGTCATGAGTCCCCTTTTTTTAGTCAACGCCAAACGAAACTATCTAAATAGATAGATGGAGCCTTGCCGAGAGAGAGGCATAAGAGGAGCAAGTGAGTGAGTGGTCGACCTGACTGACATAATAAATAATATTACTCTTTAGTGTGACACGCTCGCACTTGTATACGCACCAAGCAATCTATTCATTCATAAATCATTCGTTTCGTTCATTAGTCTATAGAAAGAGAGAGCTATCTTCTTCACCATGCCCTCCATCTTACACTGATATTACACCCATAGAAGTGCTACGAATATCATCGCATTCGTCTTAAGGACCTCTATTATTTATTAGTCACCGTTTTATTTATTCATCCTCGTCATCGAGATCATCTTCATCGTCTTCTAGAGATTTTAAGTAGTTAGCAAGAAAGAAGAGTTCGAAATGGGGGGAAGTTATTGACGAACCATCATCGTCGTCGTCCTCAATGTCATCAGGATCGATATCATCCCAATGCGATTCCATTTCACCAGTGATGTCTTTAATCGACTGCCTAAATGTGCTTCCTCTCCAGCTTTTCGCGTCTCTTGCCTCTTTGAAAAGGACGTTGCCTTGGCGTTCAGGATCTCGTGATATTTGCCGGATGCAGGACATCCTAAGCGTTCTGATCTCGAGACCAGCTCTCGCCAGTTTATTGCATAAGCCGGCCCATAGATTGATAGTACCGTCTGATTTCCCTTCAAGTGTGACTTTATGAAGGCTGATACCTCGTAGAGTTGACGCGTAATTCCGGTATAACGCGAGTAGTACGGGTTCTGTCACAGTTGCCATTCCGATGTCAATGTTTCGCAAATTCGGAAATTTTGGCGCAGGTGGGAAATGTGTGGGTAGGTCTTCGGAAGCCTGGGTCAATGGGCTGTTAGTCTAATACTCAGCGGCATTCACCAAGAGACCTCACATTTGATGACGCTGACGAGCCTATAGCATTTACCCTTGCACCTGCTAACCATAGTAGAACCTTTTCAGTAGCAGACTGCTCGTATTTCTGGAAGTTGAGCCGTAAGTGTTCGAGACTTGAGGCTCTTGCTAGAAACCTCGAAAGAAAATATCCTGATGCGGGAATGATCTCGCCATTATCACCTTCGACATGGATGTACGGTAGTCTCGCCTTTGCAATAAGGCCGTCCACTAGAGTACTCGGAGTTAGTTATCGACATCTTGAGGATCGGGTACGAGGATTTTAGAAGTTTTTGAGTATAGCTTTCATGAAAAAGTAAAGTCTGCGCTCTAGAAATGACTAAAACAGGAAGAAAATAGTCCCGAGATATACTTACGGAGTATGGTTTTGAGTTTGCTTAGTGCCAGTGAAATTCCGGCTTCTAAGCGATCAGGTATTTTGAAGGAATAGTCAGAAAATGCACTGGTATGTAAGAGCACCTCCATTCGAGTGATGCTGGGGCTTTGGCCGAAGACTACTCGATGAGGCGTTAGTGTTTCCCCTATCTAGAGTAACTCTGAGGGCTACATATCGTGGCTCATCCGTAGCGAGTAGGTGTGCGAGAGGCAGAATAACATGGAAGAAGGCGCAAGCGAGACAGAATTAAATAAAAGATTGGCATACGTACGTGCGGCATTCCCGATAGCCCGTAGAATTGTCAAGAAAACGTGACTGGTATACTCGGGGCCACAACTCCGAAAATGATCGTCACCTGGAAGCGCAAGCGGGCCTGCCTCCTTTAAAAATGTCGGGCAACCGTAACTAGCCCAGGAAGTATTGTCGCGATGACGACTTCCTGAGTTGAAATCTCGCATCCCAATTGTCTCAAGATTGGGCAGGCGTGTAATTGCTTCGGTTAACATCTCAGCATCTAAGCCAGTTGTAGTGAATTGCATGTGATTAAAACGTTCGATTCGGAGTCTGTTTTCTTTGATCGCACGTAGACGGAACGGAGATGAATCTGTAGGATTCCCGAATTGGGTGTAAGGGTGCTCCACGTGGATGATGAGATGTGTGAGGCTTGAACCAAATCGCGACTTAGCAATGTTAACGAGGGCCTGGAGGCTGAACTCTATCAGAGCGAACTGTCTCTTGGAGAAAAACTCTCTAGCAAAGGCGCCAAACAGTAATGCCTCGACCTGTCTGCAGGTTATTCGGAGATTTCCATACTCAGGAGTGGTAAGGTACGAAGTGATCTGGAGGAGGACCTCGAGGGGAACCCCGAGTAAGCCAGACATAGCTAAGGATTGGGGGGAAACGAACAAGACTGAAGGGTTGGTGATGTGAATGATGGGCTTGTGTGCACAACATGGGCTGCTTTATAGACGTGTGCATGATCAACCCAAAACTTTCACTCTAGGCTTCAGTCCTATGGTTACCTGGGTAAATATTTAGATGATTGCTTGGGTGGTAGGCAGGCGAGGATATTGAGAGGCACTGTAAGTAAGTACCCACAAGGCAGCCGTCCTGTAGTAGGCAATGGGGACGGCATTAGGGCCAATGAAATCGATGGATTGGTGATCTACTTAGGCGGGCGGGTGGATAGTGTCAGGTACCCGACTTATTGAGGAGCTACCTGCCTAAGGTAGTAAACAGGTAGCTATGTATTCCTATGCAGGTACTATGCAGAGCGACGCCATATTCACCTAGGTACTTCATGATTACCTATATATACCTTGAATAGGAACCTACCTTTAGGTATACATAAGTAGCTAGCAATAAGTTAGACCGCTGACAACAAATTTCTTGTAATCGTTTCAGTAAGTGATAAATGCTCATGTTAACCATGGGATTATTTCTTTGATTGATGTAAACACCAAAGGGTATCAATACTAATTGTCCCACTCGGCAACTCCTTACACTGTGGAATTTGTACAAAAACAAAGCAGTAACGACCACCACCATAGCCTACCTAGGTAGATAATTTCAGTGCCCCTTGGCTCTGGACTGAGGACCCCAATTTTCCCTAGGATTGGCTTGGTACCGGACCAGTCCTTGCTTAGACTTATCACGGCCAAGGCGTTGGTCAAAGACGACCTCTAGTTTGTCTACCTCGTCGTCTTTCTTTTCGCTATCGCCCAGTCTCAGCAACTTGTATGCCGGGCTGTTATCTCTAATGTTCGCGATTTTCACAGGGCGCTTCTGTCGTACCCATTCTCTCATGATATGCCACACGACTGACCACGAGGCATTTGTCCTCATGCTCCCCGCCTTGCAATGACTCCGTGTGACCTCATAGCCTAAGTGACGGAGAGCGCCTCTGAAGCTATCCTCATCTGGACAAACACAATGCAAGGCACCTGCGAGATTGGTGGGGTGGAAGTAGAACGGGTACGGCTCTAGTGCTGCAAATTCGTCATCTTTGTTCGCGGGTGAGATATCTTCTGGAGGTGGGAGCGATTCTTCAAGTGCGGTGTATAACATGCCTTCTATTCGCGGTTTTGTGCCATAAATTTCGTCTGGAGCATTAGGTAAGTCGTCGAGGATCTTCTTGATAAAATCCGGGGAATGCAGAGGCCCTGCATACATAGGACCACAAAGATGCATCTTCGAGTCGCAATGCTGGCAGTTCGTGCCAGCTGTTGGGCCCAGTGAAGCACCATGTTTATAGAATGAACTTTTGCCAGATTTATTCATAGTTTTCTTATTGCGGGCCAAAAGTTGCGTCTCCCAAGCTCCGCATCCGTGGTCGCAATTATATGCTATCATTGTTTTACCTGCGAGGAACTTAACCTCAGATGGAGACTTCCTGATCTTGACGAAGATTCGGACGTAGTAGTCTATTGACAGGCTGAGAAGTGGTTCGATTGCCAGACCATACCTTGCGGCGGAGGTGGCAACGGCGTGTAAAATCAGACGCAGCCCAACTTCATGGGAATAAAACCCCTTGACGGGAACGCCGCCGTAGAGGGCGTATGCCTTCTCGGGATAACCGTTCGAAGCCCATACGCCTGAATCCGTGCACGTCATGCACAAGAGGCCACCGTCGTCTCGGACTGCATTGACCGCGGCGTCAAGAAATGGGGCAGCCGTCCCGTAGGGATCCAAATCAATGACATTGTATCTCTTCCCTTTGTGTTTAGTATTCTTGCCATATTTTGTCCTCTCGTGATCGCGAGTAACTTCATCGGCTAGCATAGAATACATGTGAGCTCGTGCATCGCCCAAGTTGGCGACGATCTTGGACTCGATGCCGTTGTGTTGAGCATTGCGGCGAATAGCCTCGACGGCGGAGGGAGTTAGGTCGTTGGCAGTAACGGACGTAACAAAGGGAAGCTCCTGTGCGTATCGAAGAGCTCTAAGCCCCGTTGCAGAGAGAGCGTCCAGAATGGTAAAGCTAGGGATATGGGATGGTTGGTGCTGTGCCGGATCTTCCCGTTTCGACTCAGGATCCTTGGTAGTCTCAGGCAGCGACTGATCCGAGATAGCTTCAGACGCTACCTTGTCATCGTCTGGTTTTGCAATGCTCTTCTCGTCATCGAGCATAGGGGTGTCGTTCTTTTCAACGCTCGCATTGCCGGCCTGGGCTAAGTTGGCTACGTCGACGGTACTCGATTCGGTGGCGTTGGAAGGCGGCTCCGGCTGTCTTTTAGGGTTCGGGCCGTCAACATCAGACCTATCGCGTTTCCTCTTGGCCACATACTTGGCATTAGCAGGGCGAGGCCTAGACAATGAACCTTCTCCATAGGCCTTAATAGCAAGGACGGTCAAGTCCCGGTTGAACTGCTGAATGGGGTTGTAAAAGACCTGCTGCTGTTCCTCGACACTCTTGGTGGTCTTTTTAGAAGGGTCTGGTTTTGTATAAGGTACGAGAATGCGGGCGAGGCCCTCCTTTACTTCGGTAAACTCCTGGCCATCTCGTACGAAGGTCTGAACATTCGAGGTCAGAGTCGAGGTCGTTGACCCATTCGGAGGATTCGTCGCCATGCTGTGCATAGCTCGATAAGGGTATATTCGAGAGTAAGTGCGGCTTACATGCCTCAATAGAGAATGCAAAAGGAT